TCATGAACTATGGATACTGAGAGAAATGTTGAAAATCGAATGACAAGCATTTCGTTTTCAGCACGTTAAGTTTTTTGACTGTGAATCATCTTACTCCAACCACTTTTTATAGCTGTATCAAAAATTCACTTGTTTGCTTAAAATTTTACTTATTATCATTTAGATGAAACTCAAAGACAATGCACCACAAAATATTCGTTTTTTAAGGCCGCAACGTGCCAAACAGAAACCAAAAACGCAACAGCTTTTAGTTTTTAGTTTTTCTCTCAAAGCTCAGGAATATGCTACCTCTGGCATAAACTCGAAAGTATAACACAGATGTGTAAATAGATTCACAAGTTTGAGGCCGAGCCGGTAGTTTCAGCAAACAAGGACAGTAGTTTCAGCTAGCGAGCACTATCTAAATTTTGAAAAAAAAGTAACCAGCTTAACCACAAACGTCTTAGTTTTAATATAAGGTATAAAATAACGTCATGGGGATGCTTAACAATATGGGAATTTGGAGTTTTCGTTGATCAAATCAGCTATGGAGTTTTAGACCTTTTTCATGAAGGAGATAGCTTTGACTAACTTTTACAGTTAAGTTTATATCCCACTTTCAGTGACTTGTTTTGATTAGAAAAAACGGAAGTTTTTTCTGGAAATGGTTAGAATCATTAAAGTAATCCAATTTGAAAAAAAATATCTTAAAAACCTTGAACAACTTTTTTTCACTTTATGTTTTGAAAATAAATAAAAACTATAATAAATAGATAAATAAGGCAGGATTTGTTTCATTGGTTGACAGTTCGTGTTTAAAAATGATTGAGTTTTTACACTCCATTTAAATTTAAAAAGGAGATGACAAAATTCTGCCTCGTTTTCGCATAAAAATTAGTCATAAGCTTTTCCAACTTTCTTACCATGAACCTATAGTTCGCATTGTTGTGAGAACGTTGCTTAACCTTATTAAGTTCAGAGTTGAAGAAATAAATGCAGAAAATAAAAATTTATGCTGTCACTTATGCTGTCACTTTTTGCTGAACAATGAAATAGTCGTTCTAAATTTCACAGTTGGGTTCACATCAACTGTAGCGTTTTCACAATGAATTTTTCTACTCAAACTGCGGAATTTTCTATGGTTAATGAAGACCAGCAGAAAGGGAAATTTTCTCAAACTGGTAGTCAAAAGGTTTTTTTCTAGTCATTTTCCAATGGCAATGTTTTCAGTGCGAGTAAATTACGAGTTAAAATTTTTTCAAAAAAAACAGAACTAAGAGATGTTTTTTTGAGTCATTGTCTCTTAAATATTCAGCACTCTAAGCTTACCTTTTTGAGTTTTATCACAAAACAAAAGTTTTTAGAATTTGGGTTTTATCTGGGATCACGCTGAAACTGGGAATTTGTCTCTAAACGTGGATATTTCTTTCCGTAATCAATTTTGACGAGATGAGGTGCTTTATATAAAATCTCAGACTTTTTGCGGATGAAATTTATTATCAAAATATTAGGACAGTCAGTCTGAACACAGAGATATTTGTCGAAAGTTTACTTGTCAGCTCAAATCACAATTGCAGCGCTTTCATGACGAATTTTTTTTAAAAGTGCTTAATTTTTCCTTGTTTGAGATTTATCTAGGAAAAAATAAACAGATGCAAAGTTATTCGACCAGTCAATGTTCAAAACGAAATTCTAGTCAGCTGTGAATAGTTATCTTCATGATCTCACAAAATTATGTATTTACTTCTTCGAAACAAAATCTAATTAAAAAGTAGTTTTTACTATCACTCATTGATTACAGAAAATTTCAGGCCATTATTCTAGACACTGATTCAAACACCAAATATTTCATGTAGGCTCAAATCACAAGTATAGCGTTTACATAATAAGATTTTTTTTCGAAACCAGCTTCTTTCAATATCCAGGAAATAGGAATAATAGGAAAAGTACCATGAAAAAATTCTAAAATTACCGAGTCAAACCTAGTCCGGTCAATTCTAAATATTAATACTCAGAACCTCAATAATTTTTTTTGAAACGTCAAAATGGAACATACTTTTGCTCTAAACCAAAAAGCGGCTTTTTAACTGTGTGTTTATCGTTCCGCAGCCTCTTATTGGTTAATTAAAGACTCAAGTGTTAATAAGTGTTAAATTAAGATACTTATTAGCCTCGTTGCTTATTGTTAGCAAAGATTCATCAGGGTTTTACAATAACCGCAACAGCAAGGTAATACAATCGGAAGGAGGCAGATCTTGCGAGTCAATTTGTTTTCGCCGCTGATTTAAGCAACTCTGTTTTTCACAATGATTGTCGTTTTGCTGGATAAAATGTTAGATCATTGTGTGAATAAGGGATTCAAGGCAAAGTCTCTTTTTCCACCTTCCAATAAAAAATGTCAATTCTTAAATTTTGGTCAGCTACCAGACGCGGAGTTCGCTTTTTAGGCCAAAAAATGGTCTTCCACAAATCGACCCCTCTTAATCATAAGGCTCGTAACATATGAAGACAGACGCTAGATCGAGGTTTGCGCAATCAAGTGAAACCACCAACAGTTTTCTCAAATTGAAAAGCGAGCCCAATCTGCACTTTGCTAACACAAACAAAAAATAGAGCTGTTAAGTTAAACATCTCGAACAAGCAGTAAGAAACGAGCACGCAACAGCAAAATAATGCAACTAGAGGCCAGCTTAAGCTGGAAATCCCAATTTAATAATTTTTTGTACTGATGCGGAAGGACAAGGTTAATTTCAAAAACAGACTTATAGCAAAGAAAAAGAAAACCCCAATTTAATGAGAAAAATCCGTTTATTTCATCATTTACTTCAGTCTTCTTAAACATTGAAGTGATTAACAGAGCTCGATAGAATGAAAAAGGATTAAATTGTTGCCCATTAGATTTGGGTGGGTAGTTTTCGAGAAGTCAAAATTTCAAAAAACGGTCGAAAAATCGAAAATTTGACTTTTCCGAGGGTCATAACTTTATGCGTAAAAAATTTGGGCGTAATTGCTTATGCAAGTGAGTTTCTAGCAACAAGTCCTTTCGATTGAAACTAAAGCTCAGATTTGGGAGGGTAGTTTTTGAGAAAAGTTACAAGTTTTAAAAAACCGGTCAAAAAATCGATAACTTGACTTTTCGGAGGGTCATAACCTTCTGCGTGTAAAATTTAGGCGTAATCATTTCTGCAGCAGAGCTGCCCACAACCCGTTTTACTCCTTGCAATCAAAACCTCAGATTTGTGTGGGTAGTTCTCGAGAAAATGTATACACTCAAAAACTTGGATAAAAAATCCCCCCACACATTTTTTCGAAGGCTATAGAAAGTGGGGTGCGGTAAAAAAGAGACTAGGGGAGTCCCATTGGTACCATTCTTTTGAAAATCGGTAGTTTGGTTTTTGAGAAAAACGAAAATTTTCCAAAGCCTCTTAAAAAAATTAAAAACCCGATTCCATACAACATTTTCATAATAACTGTTTTCATCAAACAGGAAATTTTCTTTGGAAAAAAGGCAACTTTCGGTTTTCGAAGAAAAAAGTAGGTGGCCTTCAAGCTCTTTGAATTTCAAAAACACTAAATACTTGATATTTTTGTGATAAAACTAATCCAACTTAACCTAACTAGATAGGTCAAAGGCTTTTTTTAAAAAGTTTTATCAGTGCGTTTTTTTGTTGATTCCGCTGGGAATTATAAATCCACCATTTTCAATTGTTGTTTGAGAGCGTAGTTTGTCTTGGATTGGTTGAAAGAATTAGATAAAACACTGAAAATAGATCGAAGTTCACACCTATAAAACAAACTGGCGTGCACAAAATTTTACTATACTTCAAACTAAAAAGCCAGACGACCTAAATAAATGAAGTGGCTTCATTATTCGCGAGCTTCAAGATTTAAATCACCAAATAATTTAAAAATATTTTTTTGCTACCTAAAGAACCCCCTCCTCCAGTCTCGTAACACTTACAGAAGAGGAACAATGTTTTTTTTATATATTTAAACAAATTGAATTTTTAAAACATTTATACTCATCTAGTTACTGAAAAGAATCTATAAATTCAATGAGTTTGTCAATTTCTCTCCAACTTTTCAACCTGAATTTTCCCTCGATAGACGAATTGTAAGGTTGGTCGAAGACTACTTGTTCCCAAATTGGTTCCATTGAACCGTCTATATCAGGTTTGTCATCAATTAACACCGTTCCTCTAACTAGAGTTTTATCTCTAGTTAGAATTATTTTTTTAGTCCAGTCAAATCCCAAATTATTTTCGACCCACTGAAATTTCTCCAAAACACAGTTTTGGTAAGCACGCATCGGTGACGTACAAATAAACACTTCGTATTTTTTGTTCAGTCTTTCTATTCCCTTTTTCGCGTCAGACATAACAGGAAGTCCACGGAAATATCCAGGCTCCTTTGTTATTTTGTGGAAAATTTTTGAATATTGCGGATACTTATCTGTGTATTGCCAGTTAGAATAAAAACTGGTTCGCAGATGGTGAGGTATTAACTCAATTTCAGGAAGTATTTTCGTAACGGCATCACGGTAACCAGACTCGAAGTCTACAAGAACTCCGTCCATATCAACCAGAACAGTCTTTTTTGGTTTTCTGGTGCAGAAATTCATAACTGATGTTAAAGTCTTGCTTTTTGACTTAAAAATACGACTGACACTTCAAATGATAAACATAAGAAACCTTTGTACCAAATCTTATATTTCCAAGTTACTGCTTTCTAAGCAAAACAACCTCGAGTATTGACTTTTGAATGTTTGACAAGAGCAATCGCTCTCTGTAATTTGAAACATATATTCTGATCTAAAATGCAGTATCGGACTTTGTCTGTTCCATTTACCTATATTAATAATCGCATACGTCATATTTATGTCATAATGACTGCGTGTAGATCAAACTGCCAACATTAAATTTACGAACAAAAGATGTTCGAATTTTGGCAAAACATTAAGTTAACTTATCTAAAAATTAATGAAAATTTGATAAACAATTTCTACAACAACAACGGTAATATAAAAATGGCAATATATTAATTGGACATTTATAAATAAATTACAAATAGAAGATTGCGATTATTTCAGAGAAATATATCTACTTGATAGATAATCTTTACCTCGTATCAAAATCTAATAATTGTTTCAAAATATGTTTTTGTTTTCCTTTTGTATTACCTGTACGAGACGTGAACTTAGTTATCTAGTCATGTGATATTTCATCCTCATCATCGCAAACAGTTTCTTGGCTATTAGTTCCTCCAAGACTCTCAGTACTCGAATCGGGAGAATATGACATCATACTCTCATCGTCAAACTCCACCCCATCCGAAAACGATTCATCCAATTCACCGAATGTACTGTCATTTCCACCCTCGCTCCCGTTCATAGAGCATAACTCGCGCCTGTTTAAATCGTCATCTAAAATGTCGTCGCCTAAACTTTTCTCTGACATTCCCGAACCCATGTCTTGATTCTGTTCTCGCATAAGGTTGCGTCGAAACTTCGCGCGAGCATTTTGAAACCAAACCTGAAACAATAACAGCTCCAACAATAATATCAGGTCAGTTTGAATTTCAGTTGTAATACAAGATAGTTCATTCCAGTAATCTGAAATTTTTTGAAAAATTGAAAACCCTAGCCTGACGAATTAGTTACAATTGAGAATTTACGAAGACTGAAAAAACTGCAAAAAGAACTGCCTTCAACTACATCTTTGGAGTCACAACATACTTTAAGGGAAACATAAGACATCAAACACATATAGATACCTGTAAAACCCTTTTGGTGAGGCCAGTTTTTTGTGCCAGAGATTTCAGATCCTTAGCATCGGGGTTATGATTTGCATTGAAATACTGTTTCATCGCCTGCAACTGATGATGTTTGAAACTTGTCCGCATCCGCTTGGACCGGTGTGAGTTGTCTGTTATGTGTCCAAATGGGGCCAAGTGGGAATGCATATGGTGATGATGGACCCTATGGTTGGCCTCAAGGCTGTACAAAGAGGGAGCAAGTCCTCCATCTGCATCCAAAACTCCTGAAAAACAGCATCAACAACATACTTTTCAATGAATGGTACATATGTATAGAACTAAGCTTATATGAGAGAAAATATCTGAGGTCTAAGCATGAAGTTACACTTGAGTTAGCATGAAATGACACTAAAGCTATAGTTCAAGAATCGAAAAATTTTGGCTAAAACAAAAAATATTTTTAACATGATGGTTTAGAACCAAAATTTATAAGAATTTACAATTTTAATGAATAAGATGCACAAAAATGTGCGAAAACGTTTCTTTGAATTTACAATTTTAACGCATTCTCAAAATATTGTAAATAACATTTGTAAATAGATGTTTTACCGTCCTTAAGATTACTTTATTGTAAAAATCCTGACAATGCACAAAGTTGCGAAAACGTTTGAAATTTACTTTCTATCAAAAACCTCTACAAAAAATATTGATTTACAAAACCTCGTAAATCTACTCCGCAGGTCAGATCTATCAGAAAATCCTCAAGTGGTGTTGTGGCACCACGTCATCAAAAAAAAACTATCAACGGCCATCGCAAGGAAAATTACAGCACTTGCACCGCAGAGGAATTGAGAGAAATTTCGAAGACACTGACATATATCAGCACAATCGTACACTGCCAGAAACGGCTACCCAGATATCAGGAATCAACTCGGTTAACATTGTCATACCTACTAGTAGGTTTCTGATTTCAAACAAGTATCAGGCACTACACCAGGACGTTCAGCAGGAGCTTAATTCTGTATGGAGTGTATTCCAACACCAAGACAACCTGTCGGCTGTATTGTCGAAGCTTCGTTCAAATACTAAAACGAAGTCACAAGCGAGAAGACGGGCGGACAAAAGGAGAATTCTGTACCCAAATTCGAAGAAACTTTCGGGGGCACTGACGATGAGGTTTCATTTATGGGGGTGAGTTAAACTTGTTTTTTGTGAAGCCTTGTGGTCCTCGTGACCTGTAATACGCTGAACACAGTTATACTCCCACCTCCAATCTTCAATGGGACTCTAAAACGACTCGTCTTGAAATTTGTCCGTGATCATGCCTCAATATTTTGTAAACACTATCAATTGTCTCCAAAAAGATAAATTTCTGGGCAGCGACATAACCCCTGATTTTCAGAAACAAAATTAAGAACGGAGGTAACCGAGACATGTACAGATGGAAAAAGGGTCAGATGAAAACTAGAAAAGACAAGAAGGGCGATACGGTAAGAAGTAGTTGAGGTTTGCCCTTTGGTTATGAATAACTTACGTTTCAGGGGACAATGAACAACAACAACACCATAGAAGAGACTCGCCAAAAAACTAAAGACAATATCTGAAAGACAAGACCGACTTCTATGGAAGCAATGTGTAGCATCGGTAAGAGCTCCTGATGATATTGCATTTCCAGCTTGGGTTCAAAAGGTCCAGTCAAATCCGAACATGGTTAAAAATAGAGTCTCTTTTTCTTTTCGATGTTGACATCTTTGTAACAGTCGTCCGCTTACGTCACATATGAGATCAAGAGAAATAGACCCTATAATTTTTGGCTCAAGGGTAAGGGACACTATCTCTTGTATTTATGCACCTCAGTCTGTCGGATGCCATATTTGTTCGCTTTAGATATGGGACTTCAAGATCATGTTACAGCTTAAAAGCTACCACGAAATTAACTCCACTCTAGGAATAATCACGTCCCCATTGCTAGGTCTCTAAATAATTAAAACACGCGAACGCCGTTCAAATTAGGGTTGGAAACTCAAGTAATCACCTTCAGTTTTTATTGGAAAGTGGACCTTTGATCCATTCCAGATGGATGAGCCTAAAACCCGCCTTATCACAACATAACTCTAAAAAATGCACTCTCAAAATTAAAATCAATACTCACATAATGATTACGGCCCAGTAATTGGTTAAGTAAACTATTAAAATTGCAAGGTAATTAGTTTTTAATCAAATAGTTTTTCTTTTTGGACAATTGTATCACTTCACCTGTCGACTTGACGAAAAAAGATGATCACTGCTCCAGTATTAGCCCTCTCATAAATATTTTTGGTGCTCTTTATCAGGTACAAGACAGCTCTACTCAAAAAAATATAGTTACTTCAAATTGAGAAGAGCAATTTGACTCAAGCTCCGATTTCTGGGCCACTTTTCCGCAATTATGAACTCAGTTCTTCTGATTTCTGATTTTCTGAACATTCAATTCAGTTGCTGCGATAAACTTGAGCATGACATGCCATTTCGTTTTTTTTTTTTTCAAAAACTCAATCTCACTCCAAAAACAAGACAAAACTTCAAGATACGGGCCACTGGCAAAATTTCTTTAGGATCGTAAAAAAAGAAAAAAAATCTCTGGCGAGGCACTTTGTGAGATCGAGGCAGTGGTAAAAGCCTGTGCTAAGACTTTGAAACAAACTCATTTTTACAGGGTTGTTCAAAAAACCCAAAAATATACGACGAGTAAGGGATTGGTTGCGGTGCGGTACCGTATGACGAGGGCGTTGGTCATTTGTAAGCAGGATGGATACCTAGGAGAACAAATTATCGGGTTTAATAGATTCAAACCAGTTCAGCGACAAAAAAAGATCCAGTGATTCGTTTGTTGTAAACACAGAAAAAATCATCAATATGGAATTGTTGTCTCTGAGGAAAAATGCCGAAATAAGAGATAAACTCTAAATAAGGATGAAGTTTACTGGGGGCAACCCGCCAGGTTTTAAAGGTTGATGAAGATGCAGAAAAATTAACCCAAAGAGACCGGTACTTTCATTGCCTGGCAGCTCCTCTTATTATCTGAACAAGGTTTTTCAAAAAGTTTTGAGGAAAATGCAGGCGCAAACATCGAAATCATAACAATATAAGCGAGCAAAAACTTAACAGGTTTTAGTCTTGAGCCCTATAAGAGTTTGATATCTCTAGATTTTAAGAAGCTTGCAATCAAATGTACTGAGCAAGAAGCAATAGATTTAAACGAAGGTGCATCAGCAAGATGAACCACCAACAATTTCTGGAAAACCATGAAGAGACTGTTGAACAGGGCAGGTAGACAAGTCCATCTCAAGTGCAACGCCAAATGGTAAGTTTGGAAAGATGGTTTTGCAATGGGGACATCTCTAGCGTAAGTTTTTGCAAACCTATAGCTGAAGTGGTATAAAACTGCACTAAAAACTGCAATAGGATCTTGACGGAAAATGTTACGGGTGCAATAAAGTGCTCACGTACAAATCAAAAGGTGTAGAAAAAGAAAAACTTTTGAACTTGTATCCCAAAAACTGCGTTGATATGTCAGTTGATGAGTACCGAAACAGAGATGGAACTGTCTAATGCAGTCGGAATTGCATCGCGGTATAGAAGAAAAAAGTCAGTTCAGCAAGCTAAATTTTTCTCCGGCGGTCTTGAAGAGGTGTTGCGGGGAGCAAATTTATAATTCCCAATTTCACAATAGAGACAGCGCATTCATCATTCAGCTGGTAAGCTGGCATTTTTTTGGTTTAACAATTTATTTTTGACACTAACAGGAAAATTAACTGTCGATGGTAACAGGAAATAACAAAACAACAGATACAAGTACCATTTAGAAATTGCGTGATCTCCCTCCAAATAGAAATAGGATTTAGAGAAATTTTTCACTGTGTTTTCGGCAGTACTTCCACGTGGGAAAATGTTGATAAATTCAGCACATTTTGTTGTTGGGTGCAAAATATCCTATCATGGATAAAAAGGACGACACTTGATTTTTCTCTGAAATCGAAGTCTTTCCTTCACAACTAAAAAGTCAAAATGTATCCGGGCGGTATCTTAGTATCTCAAAGAGACCGCCACTCACTCCAATGTTTTGGAATCCAGGCTTTGTATATCTCTTCTGGTTGAAGTTACTCAGATGAATGCATACAGCATTACAAGAAGTATCAAAAACTTATAAAAAAACCGGCTTAACGATCGTCTTTATTTTACCAAGAAAAAAAAACTTAAGCATAGATCCCGTCTTGTTCTCAATATGTGTTGTTCTCGTCTTGTGCTCTTAGTTAGATCTTCAGATAAATATATTCAGGGGCGGATTTAGGGGATGGGGGGCGGACGCCACCTTCCCTCAGGGATTCGACCCACTGCCGACCCAAAGGGTCCTCCCTTTGTACTATTTTGAGATATCTCTTTTTGGTGATGGACTCTAAAAATTTTCTCAAGGCGCCTTTTTGAGGGGGGAGCCAAAACTTTTGAGGAAATAAGGACAAAACAGTGCTTTGGGAGAGCTCGAAAAATCAATTTGGTCGACCTACAAAAAAGGTCGACAAAATTTTCGAAAATTTTTTGAAAATCCGCCCCCCCCCCTCGAGAAAATCCTGGATCCGCCCCTGAATATATTTCTACGTTTTTTCACTTCTTTAGGTTCTCCTTAGTTTTGACCCATTATTTCGTATTCTCAATGTCTTCTCTGATTTTAGGGCAAGCATAACTATCAATTGCTATTTCCATTTTTACAGATCACCTTGTGGAAAAACTTTTTCTTATGGCTAAATTCATCAAATTGTCCGGAAAGACTTAGGATTCTGAAACCATAAGGAGATGAGGTAGATTGTTTAAGAAGACGCAAAATAGAAGCGGTCCTGGAAGCGATCTTCGGGGAACTCAAATTTTAGATTCCAAAATATTTAAGCTCATATTATCTACTCGATTTGCTTTGGATTTTTATGATAATCAATAAGTATCTCAAAGAGACAACCACCCACGCCAATTTTTATAAAGTTTTGATTTAACTCAAATTGAAGAACTTCAACGATAGCTCGAATCTGAAATTTTTTGAGCCTCTCGATTGCAGTGTCTAAGTTAAGTCTGGCTGTTCGCTTTATCTTTAGCTGGCAAGACCGTTATTTTAGAAAACGTAACTCACAGAACTTTATTTATAATTCAGAAAACTGATCTATTTTGAATTGCTTTAAAAACACATTTGGGGTTGAGAAAACTGATAAACTAAGCCAGGAAACTCTGACAACATCGAAGTTGCTGCCAAAGTTTAAATTTTTTTTAATACATAAATTTTCCCAGCGAGCTTTACAATTGATAAAATTTTGAAATCTAGCTTCTCTGTTAGCTTCAAATGATGCGCGAAACACTGGAGTTGTTTTTCAGACAGGTTTCGAAGAAACAAAATTTTGATATCTCTCAAGTTAATTTCTTATCTTCGATTGGCTCATTGAAAAATGTTGTTTTGATGCAAATCACTCACTCGCAGAAGTTTGGAAATACCTCATTCTCGTTCAAAATGTTTGGTATAAAAGCAGTTGTGTGGATCTCGGATTTTTTCTAAACAGCTGCATCAAAGTTTGCGTTTGTGTTTGATAAACTTATTGCAGCGTCAAGTTTACCGTTTGTCAAAGCAAGCGTTTCAAATCTATCAAATCTTGATAACTTGAGTCAGCCTATAACCATTTTGTATTTTCCAAGACTATGTCAAAACATTCTGTGCTATGGTGATTGCAAGTTTTTGTACAATTATTGAAATCAAACGCAAATATATTTAAATTACAATTTGCCGGAATTTCTGCGGAACTCTAGAAACTATTATGCTTTGACTGCGAGGCCCCAACACAGAAAAAATTCAGAATGTCAGTATGTTTTCCAGGACTCATAGCAAGTATATGAAAATTCTATGACTAAGTTGTATCGAAGTTAACCCCAAAAAAAAATTTTTCCAATCGCAAAACGATAGTCGTACGTAAACAATCAAGTTCTAAAAAAGATTTTGCAAGCAAAATCGTAGTCCTCGATACACAAAAGTTGATTTTTTTCCATTTCTCTGGATAAGTATTTTTTCAAAAACGCTCAAAAAAACCTATGTATTTTGTATGGCTCGTTTTTGTATGCCTTGCCTTGATCAATGCATGAATAATTAGTAGGCCAATTTTTTTTTCTAAAAAATCACCTTTGAAAATTTTTGCAAAAATTTAAAAATTTGAATTTTTCCTTATATCATTTGTTGAAGACAAACTAAGACAATTCAGGGCATTTCCTAGGCATTGAAATTGCGAGACAATCAAACCTTACGTGATTTTCGAGTAACTAAGGTTTTCGCCACTTGTGTTTGGTTACTTAACCAACTTAACCCAAAAACTTGAGAAATGAAATTTTACAAAAAATCTTATGAAAAAATGCTGGTCATACTGTTTGGATGTATGAAAAATCACTAATCTTAGACCTTATATGCAATTTTTTGTTTTTATGGAATTGCATGATAGTTATATGAGTAATACCATTTTAATATCAGCAATTTTGGTCAAACTGGGTGACTACAATGTTCAGTGAGTCCAGTATATAGTGTATATTGCATTCCATTAACACAATCTAGCTGTATTGCCCATAGTCTTGTACCAGCAAAAAAGTGTGATTACTGACGGTTCTGTTTCAACTAAAGGATATTGCTCAAAAACAGTTTGATAATTTCATCAGGAAGGGGATAGAATTGATCCAATTTTTAACGAAAATTTGATCTTTCGGAGAATACACATTATATTACTTCAGGAAAAATAATCCCAAACTGTAACATAAATTTTGTAACGTGTTCTAATTTTCTGAGAAAAATTTCTTCAAAATGGTGGTATTATTAAGCTACGTGTTCTTGTGAAAAGCTCTGATAGTTTTAGGTGGCTATCAATATCTGTTAATTGTTCCGACTATTTAAAAATGGAGAAAAATTTTCTATTCGGGTGTGTTTTAATTTTTTCTTTTTGATTTCCATGTAAAATCAGGTACCACAAATTAATATCGAAAAAGGTCGAGTGCTATATCAATTTAGCTTTTTCACTCGTTATTCGAACGACATTTTAAAAAGTAAAAATATTTATTGGTGTCAAAAAAATCAGTTTGAAATTTTTGCTTTTTGATCTAATTTTGAGCTAATACGGCGAGCGTGCAGGCTAACAATAGCTTATTTTAGTTTCACTCGAGTAAAGTTAGATTTGGAGATTATTAACGCCATTTTAGGAATCCAAAACTTCAACAAAAAAATGTGCTAGACTTTCAAAGTTTGTTTTACACTTTTTTAATCGCTTTTTCTAGTAATTTTAAATAAAAAAACTGATTTACAATTGGCCTATTTTAGTATGATTGTCGAATATGCCTAAAAATTACCGTTTTTTGGTCAGATCTTTTTTATCACACCACACAGAAGAAACGACACTATCTAGAAAAATTGTCGGAACATTCTGTGCTATTTGCACAGTAACCGGCTATTCTTGTTTTTACTTGCAAATGGTAACCAAAAGTTCACAGCTTCTCAGCCTTGATCTATTTTTTAACCTCAGCTATCTTCACTTTTTTGTGGTGATTTCATACTTTTTTGTGATGTTTTTCTTTAACCGTATCACTTTAAGCGTAGTTTTTCTAAGACTTGCATTGTGACTTTAAAAAACCATTTATGCCTAGGCGAATATTGCAAAATTTTCAACGAAAGATATCTAGAAACGTTTGAAAAACCAGCCAATCAAAACTTTGACAGATTTTTTTTCAAATCAGCCGGAAGGTATTTTTGTGCTGAGCTCAAACTTAAAAAGATATTTTAGCTGTGATCATTTGTGCAAGATTTTGGAGGTTTAAGATTGCCAATTTGGGATATATTCCGCGCGGTTAACGCGTTAGCAGCTATTTAATCAGTCGTTAAGCAGTCGTTTGCCATAGTTGATCTGTTCATAGCAAACTTTATCACTTTGTATTTTATATGTCGTGTGTGGTATGATGGAAAAAATCTCAAAAACTTTTAAATAACCTTTCATTTTTTTTTGTAAATTTCATATTTTTAATAGACGAACACTGATCCTTGGTCATGAAAGGCAGTCGGATTTTTCAGGACTTCGTTCTGATCCGAGCAGTTCTAATCAAATTAAGGTAAGCTTTAACGAACAAAAGCGACAAGATTTGATAAAACTGAGTCGAGTATTAGTGGAAGTTTTGGAATTTGTTTGACAAGTTGAAAGACTTTAGGCTCAATTTCCCCAATCAAAGTTATGAGAAAGGTACCAACTCAAACTGTATACAAAAATGACTAGTAATAATTATTCAAAAAATGAATAAATGTATACTACTAAATACCACTAAGTGTATACTACTAAATGTATGCAAAAATGACTAAATAATTATTAATAACATTTCTGGACAAAAATAATTAGTGAGACAAACTTACCATGAGCAGAATAAGCCGCAAGTAGCTGGTCTTCGATGTGTTTTTTCTTCCTTGGTCTCCCCTTGGACGACGAATTCCCACCAACAGAGGGGGGCAACATCTTCAAAAAATCAAACGAGGGGTGAAAGGGCGAAGGTGGCGGGATACCCACTTGTTGTCCCCCAGGTAACATATTATTTGGGGGAGCACGGGAATAAACTGGCATTACAGACGCAAAACTGGTCGGAACACCCGGGGCGAAACTACTTATTGGCACTCCTTGATGACTCATCTCATGGGGATGATGAGGTGATTGGAAAATGGGGGGATGAATTTGTTGGTTCATTTCTTGAGGGGGGATGTTCTGAACTGGCTGATTTTGAATCGAGATTGAAGATTTATTTTGATTTTGTTCAACACTTTCAGCAGCCATTTGTTGTTCCGACGGCATTGAATGAGCATCGGCAGGTGTCCCAGCGTTTTCCAGTGCAACTTGCTGGCAATTTTCGAAAACCCCGGGTTTAAAATTCGAAACGAAATTGCTTTCTTCTTTTTTGAAATTACTTAGCTGATGACTGCTCTTTTGCGACTCAGAGTTAGGTTGATTTTTGCTCATTTCTATTTCATTCGATGCTCGATTGCTCGTTTTTAAGTCAGAGAATTTAGTTTTGATGCTCATTTGACTATCTGAACTTTGGTTTTCTGCCAATTTTGCCGGCAAAGAGCCAATGTGAAGCGTGCAGTAGATTTTATTGTCGTGGAAAGCAATATGATCTCCAGTTTTGAATAGTTTTTCGCAAATTGCGCACACGAAACATTGAACGTGGTATGCGTTTTCTTTGGCGCGCATCACAAACTCTGTGGGTAAAATTGCGTGATTGCAATTTTTGCATCGGTTTTTGGGGCCAGAAAACTCCCTGAAAACATTTATTTTGAATGAGAGATGAAAATATAATTTTGAAAGCTTGTTTTCTGGTATCAAGTTCCAATTTCATAAAAGAAACTGACAACAAAAATTAAACCAATTTTAAATTTTTATTAAATGTTCCATTTTTATCATTTTCTTTTTCTTAAAACTTATAATTTTTTATTAAATTTTCGATTTTTATCATTTTCTTTTTCTTAAAACTTAAAACTATTTACCGATAATAATCTCGTTTGCAGTACACTTTCCCGTTTTTCGTGTAACAAGACTGCGCATCTGCCAAATTCGCCCCACAAACACAGCAAACCAGACACTTCTCATGCCAGATTCCATCTTCAGTGCTTATACACTGGTCTTCGGTTATTTTCTGGCAGCATCCGGAACAGTCGTGGAAAATGGGGGCAAAAAGAGATGATGTGGGGGGTTCATTGGGGAATAAGCTCAACGATGCGGGGGTTGTCGCGGTGAAATTGCTGGCGGTGAATTTGTTTGACAGAGGAGGTAGAATTCCAAAGTTTGTCTCCTATTGAAAAAGAATGTGCTATTTTAAATTTTTGTCTGACAATCTTTCAAAGTAAATTTTGAAATTTTCCGAATAAATTAACTTACCTTAATATTGGTCATTTTTGAAGATTCAAGGCTCGGTAGGGTAAAAGTTTTCGATTACGTTTTGAGAAGCTCGCAGGTGGTTAAATGGCAGATTTTTGCTGTTCCAGGAGATTCATGCAATCAACTGAGAAAAAAATATTTGCCCGCTACGAAAATGAGAGTAACAGAAATGACAATTGGCAAAAACATCGGTTGCAAAAAGATTTTCACCAATTTCTTCAACGTTTTTTTTAAATTTTGCTTTCTGTCGTTTTAACTTTTTATCTTCCCATATTTGTGGCTCCTTCTTTTTTTTTCTTCTGTATTTTGTTGTTGTTTGTTCTTTGTTGTTTTCTTGGTGAAATTGTGAACAATTTGTTAACCGGTGGCGTTTTTTATAACTAATTGGCTCCGAATTATTTCGATCGGACCGGGAAACAATAAAAGAATAATAAACAAATTTATTCAATTCCTAGGGCAATTTTACCCCTTTTAAAATGCACACGAAGACATTTTAAATCCAAGAAAAAATTAAAAGGAAAAAAAGTACAATCAAAATGAATGAAATCAATACAAAGAGTCAATTTTGCTGAATTTTTCAGCATTTGAGGAAGTTTTTGTCAATGAGTTTCAGACAAATGGGCTGCATCGTTATTTATTTTATTCTTCATTCATGAAATGATTTATTCAAGGAACTGGTAAAATATTAATTTTATAACAATATTCTAAAAAGTTTTATTACTCATGAGTTTTTTAACTCGTGAGATTCCATTTACACATATGGCAAAACTATATACCCAAAAATTTATAATTTTAAAATAAAAGGAAGAATTTTATGTTCAGTTACTTTCAAAAATAACTTTCGCTTTAATTTTGACGGAAATTTTTGAAAATCGATAAATTGTAATATCTGAAATGAAACGTAAAACAGAGTTGATATGTTATGAATGTCAACATTTGCTGAACACTTCAATGTTTAAGGGTTTTTAGCCCAGGTAAGAGAGATCTAATACATTCTGCTTCAACGTTGTTGTTTTCCTTAAAATCTTGTATTTTTCACTAATTAGTTCCCGAATTCCGTGTTAATATACCCTCTTATTTATACCTGAAAGGTCTTGCAAGACCATACTTAACATGAACATACATACTTCGTTTCCTATTTAAAGCTTTACCTATAATTCAGAACTATTTCTGCGGACCGTTTTGACAAAGCGTTTCCGTTTTCTGTCAAATTATAAAATACAACTATGAATTTCATTTTTCATATAAAATCAAAATCAGTGTTTGTAAAGAATCAGAATCAGTGTTTTTAAAGAATCAGAATCAGTTTTTTTAAAGAAGCAGAATCAGTGTATTTATGATTCAAGAGACGTTCCAATTCAAAAAAGTGTCTTTAAATTGCACTAGGTCAAATTCTGGTCATTTTCAAACTCATCGTGTAAATTAGTAACATAATTATATTAATTGTTCCATTAGTGAGCCTTTTTGAGGTCTGGTCAGCTGAAAGTTAGAATCACAAAAATATACTTTTTCAAGCTATTTTTTTTTATAAAACGAACTTTAATTCCCAAGATTGCGCGAAACCATGATGAGATGAGAGCTTAAATCTAAGATTTTCAAATATTTTCAGCAGTAACGTGCCGAGGGGGGGGGGGGGGGGGGGGGTTTGGGTGGCGACCGCCTTTTCCTGATTTCTGGTTGCCAAATTTTTCGAAAATGTCCTCCCCTTAGGTATAACTTTACGACATCCATTTTTGGCTGACCAAACCTCAAATTTTTCTATGGGCCTCTTGAGCGCCAAAATAACTAATTTTTAGGGGGAGCGCGCGCCGAAAAACGCAATTTTTCAAAAAGCGCCGAAAAACACGTTTATTTGCCTGTTTTTTGAAAAATTTACCTGCGGCGCAGATAATTTTTGACAAAACAGGGTCCTTATACTACTTTCGGAGAACTCGGGAAATCAGATTGGTCGATCTAAAATTGGTGATTTTCAGGAAGAATATTAAATGACATCATGTTTTTTCCTCGGCGCGCATCTGTTAAGTTAAGATCAAGGGATGACGTAATATTCACTGTTTGACGGTTTTCCATGAAGAGCTACATCTGGTACAGGAAAAATACATTGGGATTCATTTCTTACAGGAATAAGCAATTTCCTTCTAAAATTTTGACAGAAAATATTTAATTGAAAAAATTAGTTGCATTTTCAGTTAAATGCCTATTCAAAGCTGTATTATACAAAATTTAATCAATTCCACTCGTTTTAACATTCAACAGTATTAAACTAATTAAACTTTAAATGCGATTAGTTGATAAGAATGTTTTGATCTTCCAGTTCTCCTGAGCATTAAACTGTTCATAATTTTCACGGCCGTGACAGATTTCGTCCCATGACAGATCTCGTCCCAATTTATTTTCAACAAATTTTGTCCCACAAATTTGGATATGGGATGATAGGATGTTGGATAAGGGACAAAACCTGTATGGGACGAAATCTGTTTATTAAATGAATAGGACGAAATCTGTAGTAGGGCGAAATCTGTGCCAATCAATTTTCACAGCTCGATGTTTTATACTTCTTGAGATTTACAGAGAATGTAAGAATGAGTATGGTCGTAGAAGTATGACCACATCAGTCGCATGGAATTAGCTTTCAGAGGCACAGAGCATGGACTGGCTGTCGGGTTGAACTTCCCGTCGATATCTAGGAGGCCAGGCACATACCAGCCAGACCAACTTCCGTTGAACCACCTAAAACAAACACCTGTTAGTTTCTGGATGTGATCAACCGTTGATCTAAAAAAGTAGAAAAGAACGTTAATTATAAGACAAATGCGTCGATAGACGCAAACTCATTATTGAATCGTGTTTGATAGACAAAAAGATGTAGTAAAAATATGATCACTCAAACTCGATTATGATCCATTGTAATATTTTTGTATCCATAAGTTTTGATTATAATAGATTATAATATCTATAATCTATAATTCAACTGGCCTTTAACCCCCTCCTAACGTTCAATGTCTCAAAACTATCTTTGGGAGATTTGGAAAGCTGGAGAGACAAAAAACTTAAGTACGATTAAAAAGCGTAAAAAAGTCAGGGTAACTGAAAATAAATATGAAGACAAGATATCAATTTTGGAAAGTATTTTGACCCACATCCAAATTTAGACGAAGGTAATCAATTATAACGGATTATTATGTTGTTTTTTGGTTATTTTGTTTGTCAATAACAAAATCTCTAAAAGTGAGAGTTCTTGTCAAACTTTTGTTCATACGAACACAAAGTCTTACGACGAAACAAAAATCATATTAGTTGAAAAGTTACTGCGGTAGGTGGAAAACAAATCTTCCGAAAAAATCGTGAAAATAAAGCTGATTTTTTTGTGGATAAAAAAAATAAAATGGGCATCATAAAACAACTCTAATGAAGCTGAAAAGAAAAAATACTAGCGTTATAAATTTGAATTGTTCTTAAAACATTTGAGACAGTTTCCCATTCAAAGCAAAAAATATCAACACTTCTGATGCAAGGTCGAGAACAAAATGGGAAAACAAAAAGGATAGTAATCTGTTATAAATGATTTTTTGTGCAAAACATATGTGGTAGAAGTTGGAACAAAAACAATTGATTATAATCAGTTTTAAAAGAATATAATTGTATCGAAAAACAGATGGTTTATTATTCAAATACAATTGAATAACTGTATTAGAAAACATTAAATTTTGATTTATAAAAGAGAGATTCCAATCGATTTTAATTGATTAAAATCTATTGTTTCTCAGTTTTAGTAAAACTTGTACTAAAATCATTATATAAGCGATTATAAACGCTTGAAATTGGACGCGGAAAGCTTCAATCTATATATTGCAACGTGTGATAGCCAACCGAAGCAGCGTTTAGCAAAAAGATCATAATCTGTTATGACTGGTTGAAAAGAATTAAAATTATTTTTTGATCTGACAAAAGGTACGATTTCAATTCATTGATTATTTTTGAGACTGACACTGACCGACCAATAAGTGTGATTGTTACTTATAAAACACTGATGTGGAATGCTCAGAAAAGCAAAAGACTAATAATAAATCAATCAATTTACAAGGATTGAGTTGAAAACACTAATCTAAACTGACGGAAAAGTATGAAATGAGTTAGCAAAATAGACACGGAACAATGTCCGCGAAACAAAAAAGTTCGGAAATTTGTCCGTTGGTTATTCGGATTTCCTACGAAAAACAAACTTAAGAGATCTAAAAATGTCTCTCGGTTAAAAAATGGGTTGGGATTGAAGTTCAATGGAATCTCAGACTGACAAAAAGGTGAGTAATTCATTTCCCATACACTTAACCATAAAATATAAACAAAACAATTTATTGTTTAATTGTGAGCACAAAAACTATTGATAGTTTTTTCAATTTAGAATGACATTTGGAAACTGATAGATCAATAATACTAGAAGTTTTGCCAGGAAGGAGAAAAAATTGTTTTGCGGTAAAATAGGAAAATCACTCTACATCTTCAAGTTGGCGCAAAAATTTCTGGAGTAGTTTTTTTTTTCACTGAGAGTAAGTGATATGTGTTATTAAATTGCTAGTAATTCATCCCATGCCACGGAAGAACAAATAGATCAAATTCAGCTGAATGAAAGAAGTCTAACCTATTTTAATGAGTGTTTTTTCTACTAGCAACTGGATTAGAAAACAAAAAAATCTCAGCGCAAAAAAAATGTCTTAGCATTCTTGTTTGTGTGCAAAATTGATATTGCAAGAAAAAAAATGAAAAATTTTGATTGTTTACTTTGCAAAAAAATTAGTCATACATATTCGATGTATTGAGGTGAAGTTGGTATGTACACACATCTATAAAAACAACAAAAAACTAAAATGCATCGGAAATTCGGAATTGCATCCATGGATTAATTGATTTGAGTCGGAGAAACAACCTGATCAGAACGACATTATTAATTAAAAAAACTGGATGCGCGAAAAAAAAGCAGGGACAAAACGGAATAATCTTAAAATTATCCATTTGTTGATAACACGCTCTTCAGTAAGTTTCGCTCAAAGATTTTGCTCAAATAAATGAAGGGTTTTCCTTACATTTTTCTTTAGTCTAGTCGGGGATTTTTTTTAAATAACTTGTTGCAAAATTGCAAAAAACCTCGAGCCGGGTAAGAGAACGAGAGTGCAACAACACATAGTTCCTTAAATGAACAAATTATGACGCAAGCACTGTTCAGCCAACCTGATTTTGTACGCCACTATCTTTCCTCCCAGTACTTTGTGGTCCACAGTTCGATCCAAACCTGCTTTCCATCGACAATCCCGGGTTGCGCTCTGAGTTATTTCTGTGCATTGTGGCTCAGTTGATGTATCATATATAACGCTTTGGCAGTGATTGAGTGACAAAATTGAAAAGAGCACGCAAATTTGAAGAGCAATTTTGATGCAAATCGTCATTGTAAGTTGAAGATTGTGAGGACGGTGTTTGTTTTCTGAAAAAGTTATAAAAAGGCGCTGCAGTTTGAGCACACTAGATGTCCAGCACAGTAATGAAACGTTTTTTAAAAGGTTTGAGCATCTCTGGAAACCATTAAAAAAGTTATTAATTGATATAAGGTTCCCCTCTTTATCAGCGGAAAGACCGGGAAAACAAAAAAACTGACGAATTTTACCAAAAACTGTGTGTATCGATTGTCTGGAAAAAAGTTAGAAAATATATAAAAAAGAGAATAATTTAAAAAGATACGGCTAAAAATCGTGACTAACAATTATTAATCAAATATTTATCAGTCAATTTGGAACTTATTAATCGGTCGCTTACGCGTGCTTCAATGCTGCGCGTTAATTATACCAAATTGACCAAATCGGCAAATTTCAAACCCCCGTGACTCTACAAAAAAGATCACAGGCAAAATAACATGATCAATTTTAAGCTCGAGAAAACAATATGTTTCAGAAGGTAAAGAAGAAAATCCATCAAAAATGCTTAGTTAAAAGGTCGAAAATTGATTGAATCGATCGACCCAAGCATGAATCTTCCGCAGTTTTTAGAACGCATGAACACGAGCAGCTTCGTATAATTTTCTTGAGAATTTCAAATGCGGTCTTAGGTGGATAAAATAGTTTCGTGTGATAACTGGAAACTTTGCCAATGAAATATTTCATCAAAATTAACTAGTAACTCTACAAAAAGGTATGCCAACTCCGCTCATCCTCTGTATCAGTTAACAATCTTTTTTTAAAAAAAGTGATGTGAAAAATTTTGACAACACAAAACATCTCTATAACAAAAATTTCAAAGGACTTGCAAAAATAATTTTCAAACAAAGAATCATTTTTAATCTCTGTTTTACTTAGAAATTTTATGGTTTTTTTTTCTAACTGTAACTTTTTCTTTTTTTATAAACACATACTCAAAAAAAATTGTTTCAAAAAACAAATGACAATCGACCGAAGAAAATATTATACCAAGAATTTTTAATGTTTTAGAAAAAAAACAGCTTTTAATTTGAGATTCATGGTCACATAAAGTAATATGAGCCTTGTTTCATGTTCATCTTTTGTTGTGAGCGTTAGTATGCAGCATCGAGATAGTTGTATACAGTTGCAAATCTGCTGCTTTGTTCGCCGAAGAAAACTGATTTTGAAAACAACAAGACTGCTCGTGTCAGGGCAAAGCCCTGAATGCTCCGACTTCCTTTTAAAGTTTTATGGAGCAGTAACAGCATTAAAAAAATTAATGTAGTAAAATAAAATGACCGTTTTTCTTCTAAAATTTGAACTTTTTTAAATGAAAATCATCCCCCCACACGCCATATAAAGTACAAAAGGGTATATTTTGCTCCTGTAACAAATCATATATGGTAAATAAGCTTCTTTCAACCAATTTGGAACGATTTTAAGACGGATTAACTCTCCGCTTACGCGTTAATAGCGCGAAATATATCGCGCGTTAATTGTCCCAAATTGGCCAAAATGGCAATCTTTAAACCCCCAAAACTTTACTAAAAAAGATCACAGGTGAAATATCTTTTCAAATTTGAGCTCAGGACAACAATGCTTTTGTAATGATATAAAAATTCTGTCAAAAATGGCTAGTTAAAAAGTCGAAATTTGTCTAAAGAAAAAAACCCACCCGAGCACAAATATTCCGTCACTTTCGTATCGAAAGCCGGAACAATAAAAGTTTGTGATTTGAGAAGTAAAACAAGACTACTCGTATTTAAGGGCAAAGTCCCGAATGTTTCGACTGCACTTTGAGGCCAGTTTAAAAATTTTGTGATTAAAAAATTGACAAATAATCGAAATAAAATTTTTTTCTTGTTGTTATCAATATATTCCCTATGAAGGGATGCCACTTTCAAAGATTTGTGTTTATTATCTCGTATTCAAAAAAAGAGCAAATGGTTTGCCTCCGTTCAATTTGGAACTCATTAATCGGTCGCTTACGCGTGCTTCAATACTGCGCGTTAATTATACCAAATTGCCCAAGTCCGCAAATTTCAAACCCCCGTAACTCTACAAAAAAGATCACAGGCAAAATAACATGATCAATTTTAAGCTCCAGAAAACAATATGTTTCAGAAGGTAAAGAAGAAAATCCATCAAAAATGCTTCGTTAAAAGGTCGAAAATTGACTGAATTGACCCAAGCATAAATATTGCGCACTTTCTTGAACGCCGGAACACGAAAGGCTTCGTATAAGTTTCTTGAGTAATTCAAAATTAGGTTTAGAGGGTTTCTGGATCTTGGATTTGATTCATTCGACGAATTGAACAGAGAATTGAATCAACGAAATGAAAAAGTTTATGACTAGTACGGTTTGATAGCTTGAATTGCTGACAATGGTTTTAATCATAACGATTTTTAAGATGTTGGCTGCAAACCACTCACTAGCGGACAGGGTATCAGTTATGTTTTCAGCGATTAAATTAGTCGAGGCTATGAAGGGAGGGAGGGAGCAGGAGTTAGACCTAATCTATGCACATACAGCTCTACACAGCTGAAAAAGATCCAGCAGTTAAGCCTGGAACGGTTGCCACTATTCAGTGCTGATTTATATTGTAAAGAAAAATGCAATTGAAACTCGAAAACTAGAAGTCGTATTTCTCAAATTGGGTAATTTTAGACCAAAGAAAGAGAGAGATCATGATTAGGCCATTAGCAGTACTAATATGGTGCAATAATTGTTTGCAAAACTTGGGCATAACATTTTTTTTGGGTTTTTGTCAAATAAAAACTGTCCATGTCCAAGCTATTGTTTTGATTGCTGAAAAAAAAACGATAAAAAAGAGAGCCTCTAATGCAGCCCAACAAATTTTAAAAAAGATATCCTTCTTAATTTTGTAGAAATAGGATATTTTTCGTTTAAATGTCTCTAAATGTTCATTTCCTACTATATAAAATGCGGTGACAAGACAAAGAATCCCATACGAAAGTGTCCCATTACTAAATATCCCATACCAATATATCTCAATGGACACAATAGCCCATGCCAATATAGCTCACGTCAATTAAAATATCCCATGAAGGATTGAAAATTAATTTATGGTATAGATTACCAAGGCTTGGTGCATATGTCTACATCGCAATTAAAAAGAGTCTCATAAAGATACTGCTGATGGTAAAAGACTCTTTCCTAGGGATTAATTTTTTTCAACCTGTTAATGGAGTCAAAATTGAGAAAATTTAATAACGAAACACAAAGCAAAGATATTTTATTACACAAAGAGCACCAGTCCACTGTGAAAGATTTTATCTACGGTAAAATTCAACACAGCAAAGAGTTCCTTATTTTGGATGGGCACGAGTTCACTAAAAAACGAGACACCAAATCTACCAATCTCTGGCGTTTTGCAAAATGGCGTTGACATAATCGCCCAATAACACGTCTAACTTGCGATGAAACCATTTAGTCACGAGCACAGCCATGAGTTTTGCCGCGGTCGCGTAGAAGCAAGGCAGCTAGTTAGTTATTTGAAGGAAACAGCAAAATCCCAAATGAATCCTGTGAACAGCAAAATGATAGCAGCCAGCCTCAAGACTATGGACGATAATCCGCGAACTCAGCTTTCATTTCCGTCACGTGTAGCCCTTTCATGAACCCTCAATTGGAACAAAACGAAAGAACAACTGGAAGTGATTTCATCGACCGACCGTCAAATCGATATTCCGGAAAAATATTCAATTTTTTGTCCAAATGATAGCAGAAAAGAAGACAGCGAGCAATTCCTTTTTTTAGAGACATAGAAAATTTTTATGCTCTTCACGTCCATAGCAACTTTTGGCTTTCTGACGGAATTTTGAGGTTTGTCTGTCTCAGTTTTATCAATTGTACTCAGTACTTTTCCAGATTGGCGGCTTTTATCCCCCTGCGTTTACGTTTTGCTTGGCAATAAAAAAGATTTCACTTACAACAGGTTTCTTGAAGCACTGATTAGCCTTATTGGACACGTTGTACCCAAAAAAAATCTCCTTGACATCGAACAAACTGCCTTAAAAGCGTTTTCGTCCCTATATGAGTCAAAGGTTGCTATTTTTAATTATGCCAAAGTATCCATCGCAAGATTTCGGATTTAGGACTGAAAAAACCTTGTTGCTAACCAAAACAAAGCTAAGCCTTAACCTTACTAATGATCCCAGTTATAATCTTTGTTCCTCTTTCAGTTGCCGAATCGGCGTTTACTCTTGACATAGACGAAACTTGCCAAACTGCCGAAAAGTCGGTTATTCCAACTAACTGATATTTTCGCAAAAATTGACTAGCTCGCATCATTTTTCATAACGGCGTTACGTCGCTTGTCCACGGAATCAACTCATCCATTCATACGCTCATAGAAAAAAAATCAGTTTGATTCTTACAACCATAAGTTCAATAATCTGAAGCAAGCAGCCGTATAATCAATCAAAACCGTGAAATTTATCGAGAACTCAGAAACAAATTCCAAAAGATAACTAACTCCTACAAAAACTCAGATATAGTGAACTATGCTCAAGCTCTGGCTCATATGACACTCTCCTCGATTTCATTTTTTCAAATTAGCGGCCTTATTTTCTCAAATTGTCTGCATTTTGAGGAATTTTTAATTGATTTTCGAAAAATCACAAAAAATTCGGCTTTACAGCCATTGTAGAGGTACCAATTTTTGGGAGCTGATAGAGACAATTTTTTTTGATTCCGAACTAAAATTTGTGATCCACTGTAAATCGATCGTTTGCTCTTTTGACCAAGAGTAATAATTTTTAACCTTATCGCCAAGTGAACTTAGAAAGTCATTTCTTTTTGATTTGATAGTTCAAAAAATTGGTGGATATAAAATTTGCTTTGACGTTTTCACGCTTCGAACTGAATTTGATTTCACGCGCTTTTTAAAAGTTATAATTGCTTTGATCAGTTTGTTCAGTTTGTCATCTTGGTTTTAAATCCTTTGATTATCATTTTGCGATATTTTAATTGTTTCGATTCCTCATCTCGGATAATTTAACTTACGTGGCCTTCAATCTTTTGGGTTATTTTCGCTGGGATACCTTGAAAAGTAAGATATAATTTCTCATGATACCATAAAACACTAATTTTGTATTTTAAATCAGTAAAACACTTTTTGAACGTTTCGCTCCAATTTTTGCACACTTTACTCTCTTTAATTACTGCCGAACTTTATAGAAGACTCAGATTAGTACCAATTTGAAGAGCAATTGAAAATTGTGAGCAATTGAAAAAAAACATTAGGCGTCATTTTTGATTGAATAAAAATCGAAATAAAAATTTTGGGCCCGAAGTTTGCAAAATAGAATGGGTACCGAGACAACTCGTAACAGGAGTCAAAATCTATCAAAAAAACAACTATCAAAATCTATCAAGGAATTAACTTGAGAATTTCAGTTCCAAATTTCTTTTGCGACTGCGGTAGGGATTTTTAATTGCTGTGAGTCGTGAAATTTTTGTCGTGAGTTCCGTCCTTTAATGCGACTGCGGCAATGATTTTTCATTGTGAGTTCCGTCTTTGCGACGGAAATTTTTGTCGTGAGTTCCGTTTTTTAATGCAACTGCGGCAATGATTTTTCATTGTGAGTTCCGTCTTTGCGAGTATATTGTGAATTATAAAGCGATTTGTCTTTTTTTCGAGTTGCCCTTTGTTGCGAGTTATCGCATTTCAAACCATCCTATAGAAAGTTCCCCTATCTTACAACTTCTGATAAGATTTGAAGGAAATTTCCCAATTTTATAACTCTCACGAAAATGTAGGAAAAATTTGCAGTCTTGCAACTTTTTGCCAGAAAAGATTCTGTCTTAGAATTTTCTTGTAAGAAAAGTCGGTATCTTACAGCTTTCTTACAAGAAAAAGTCCCTATGTTGTAACATTCTTAGAGCCTATTTTTGTAAGAAGTTGTATGATTCTTAAAAGATGAGGTCTAAGGTAGCAACTTTTGGTCAACCCGAGAAGTGCAATCTAACCTGCAGAAAATTGACGCAGTTCAATTCAACAGTTAATTGAAAGACTTAACTTCAAACACAATTTAAAAAAATTGATTTTTGTTAGCTAGCTCGCTTAAAAAGTTAATTTTGATAACTTGCGTTTAATGTAATCAACAGCAAATAATGTGTTCACGTTTGGGCTAACCATGCAAGCAAAATGCATGTTTACTTACTCAACTCTTTTTTTTTTTGCTTTTTCTGATTTTATTCTAGCATTTATTGCTCTCAAGTTGATGATTACCGTAATTTAAAACATGAGCTTTTTTATCTATGTTAAAACTGTGTTTTGTATTTAGCGCTTTGTTGAGAATCAGAAAAAAGTAATATTCGAAAAATAAATCTATGATTCATTCTAAGCTCAGCATACCAGTGACCTCATCTTTTTTGTGGGTGAACGAGTGTGAAATAACAACTTGGGTTGCTGGACTCAATTACCCAAATGAGGTCAGCATGCAACTTGCTACATTTGTTGAGTGGTATGGGTAAACACACTCCCTCAGCCAAATTGAAAAACGGTCTTTTGAGTACGATTATAGGTTGAATAAATCTCAGCAAATAAATTCGAGTTTTTCCAATAGAAAAAAGTGGGATTGTTTCCCGGTGAATACAAAGCGGAACAAATAAAACTAAAGGACACTTCGGCCACATTTTAGCGGGAAATGCCTCCAAGACGTCTGACGATACAATATTTTGATTGAAATTGGTCCATTTAAACATTTCTTTAGAATTTCAGATCCTGGTAGAATCTAGAAAAAAAACATGTTCTTTGATTCCGAATTTGCACTCGTCTTCTAGGCCAATATAGGAGGAAACGCAAAGCTCCAAACCAAACCAGAAACAAAGAGAATCTAAATATCTTCTGTGATTATTCAGACGCTTTTTGAGACATGCTTGCTGACGTCAACTTCAAGACTTTTGTTGATTTTAAAAAGTCTTGCCCTATCAGATTCTTTTTGAGGGCGCTGATTTTTCTTAAATTTGTTAAATGTGAAGTTACATAAGATATGCAATTGTTTCTTGGCTTAAATTTATCTACAATCTCCCAAATAGTTGATTGTTGGCGGGCAAAGTTTATCAATGTTGTATTATTGGAAATTTGAAAAATTGAATTACTTCAATCTTATTTTTAAAAAATGGGATCAGACTGCCATTAAAAACTTCTTTTTTTTGCAAAGAGTTGCTGCTCTCTGATTAGTGAAAATCATGTCCTGAACAACACTGCAACTGAATACAAATCTGACTACCTTAGAAATAATTAAGGATAACAGTTCATTTAAAGGGGAGACAAAATACCAGAAACTATCAATTTCTGCTTCGAAAGATCTCTCTTCACGTAATTTAAGCTTTTTGACGTTTTACAAAAAAGCAAAATGACTCTTTTATAAATATAATTTTACCCCTATTTTTTCATTCTATGATTTGACGATGTTACTGTACAGGCTTTTGAAAACGACCGAATATTTGTGCTCGGGTTGTTTTTTGTTCTGATTTTTAAAATTAAAACTTGGAAAAGTTTGAATAACTTTGTTTCCTTTAATTTTTTTTTCATTTGTTTTCAAGGCCAATTAACTCTATAGACCTTACAAGACAGTGGAACGAGAGCAGTTGACGTAGATTTGAACACGAATGATACTTAATGTTCAATTAAGAATGCAACTATTCAGACCAACAACAACAAATCAACTGCACCTTTTGTTTCAGGCGTCTCAAGCTGGAGCTCATCAAGGTCAATTGGCAGGTTTTCAGACAGCAAACTGAATTTTAACCCGAAAGATCTAAGAATTGTACAAAATTCAAGCACTTGTGCGTTATTTAGTTGTGTGTACACACATCCAGTAAAATGTATCACTAAAGATAGGTTTATTTTTCCGAATTTATTCAGTGTAAATGAGTTTTGTTTTAATTGAGTACTTCAACTTTTAAGTTTGGCTCTCTCTCCGGGATTCTTCGAGTTTTGAACTTCATTTGCTTCTTTTCCGCATTTTTCCAAATCTTCAACCCATTTTTGTTAACACTCCTCCTTCGTCGGGTCGATCTTCTCGCCGGCTCCTTAAACTGCTCGTTGGATACCCGAAAGGTTCCGGATGTTTATGCGGTTTCGTTCGTCCCGCTCGCTTTCACCGCCTCGTTTTGTTGGTTGCTTTCAGGTCACTAAACAATCTCTCCGGTTCGATGACGCCTTGATCCTCGCCATTCTTGTCCTTGCTTGACTCATTGATTCGTCGTCTGTTCGGGTTTTCGATTTCGTTTCTTTCGCCATGTTTTTGAGGGATAAACTTTGGCTTTTCCGCTCCGATTGAGAGTATTTTACTATGTAAAAAATGATGTGCCCGCTATCGATGAGCCTACTGTGTTCGCGCCTTGATAACTTGTCCTGGGGTGCTCGTTTACTTGGGCCACGTGCTACGTTTCAGTTTTTCTTTTGTTTTTTCGGATCTAAATACAACACCGCTCTGTTTTAACAACTGTTTTTTTGGAAGAATGCATTTAACCATATATGCCTTTGCGGATAATTTGAGTCAAGTGCCCCCGTTACCTGTTAGACTATTTTTCTGCCTCGGGTACAGTTGTCTTGCAATTTTTCAGCCAAAGTGGTTCTTATGGATGGGTCAGTTCGATCTACACCTCGGCGATCTTGTGTTCATCCAATACCCTTGGTGTTTTCTTAATATGTGAGCCCATTATCAGATCACTCAATTTTTCTCCGTCATCCTTGTTAAACTCGATGTCGGTATCCCGTCAGGTGGACTCATCTAAACATCGTCGTTTTTAGTTATTATATGTTGTTCCGATCCAAATTAGAAAAGTACCCGGTTGCTTGATCCATGTGCATTTTCGTAGTTCGACCATGAGCTGCAAAATATATCTTTAAGAATTTGAGTATCCTTTTAGACTTGTTAGCTGAGTATAAGTCTGCGGATGGCAAACGTGTGAACGCTTCTACCGCTACTAGCGCGTACTTTTTCCGGTAGCTTACATAATTTACTAGTCAGCCGATGTCCAAATGGACCATTTCATTTGGCTCCCTCGGTTTACACAATTGGTCTTCAGTTGAAAATTTCTAGCGTAGGATTTTTACCTGCTTCCAGGCAGCGCTTGAAATACTTGGCGATGCCTAAGAGATTGCGATGCATCATCAAGAAACATAAAACAATCGAGGAGCCCAAACGTTTGTCTCGTCCGTGGTGATTGTGATGGAGCCTGTTCATCGCCGACTGGGTTGGTGCCTTTGGAATAGCTAAGCGGACATCCATCCACAGGCAATTTTAAGTTACTGCAAAAACGTTATAATGATGAGGATAGTACTGGCTCATGCGCGTTACTGTTTTCCTCATCTTTGAGTTCCTGTCCAGTATGACGACTCTTAACGAGTTTAAGGTTAGGTAAATCCGGGTAATCAATATTAGTCAGTCCGGGTAAATCGGGTACTCAGCCCGTCGGTATAACGGAGAAAAGTCTCTGTATTGTAAAATGGGTAAAATGCCTGGGTTATTGATGAGCAAACCGTAGAATAGTGTTCTGTATTTTCGTCAAAATTGCGTGTGGTTTTTTTTCAGGGGAGTTACACCAATATTGGAATAAAAATTTGGAAAATTAATTGAGGGTTTAGTTCGCATTGCTTTTTAGCACCACGTTAAGACCTGCATTGCCTGACTGAGGAAACTTTTTACTTTTATTTTACATTTTTTGGTTTTTCCGGAGAATTAAAAATTGTCATTTCAACTTGAATTGACGTAACAGCTCGAGAACAAAGTTTGATTTTAGGCCGCTCGTCTTTTCAGAAACCTTTCCGTGTGCAATTATCGTGATTGGCTGATTTTCTTTTGGTTTCTTCCTTGCAGATACTCTTCAAACAAAGTGTCTTTGAAACTCCGCCAGCATCGTAGGTTAATTGTAAGACTCATTTTTGTGTCAGTGGTGTGTATACCTAGACTTGTTCTTGTATAATTGCTTGTTCATTTCTCTTGATTCCAATTGCAATAATTTATACTCCCGTTTTTCGTTACCATAATTATTTTTTGACACCAAAATTTTTCGTAGTGCTTTTATCTGAAATTAGTTGTAGTGTTACAATATGTTCTGCGTTAAATAATTGGTTTATTTCTCTGTCTACTTAAACTGAGAACTAACAGACATCCCACGACCTTTCTGCTGTATATGTTTCGAACGATCGAAAATTTCTGACTCAAATAATGCGTTTCGAGTTTCATTTATTTATAAACTATTACTGAAAAGGACTTGCAAATATAATTTTGCCTAGTCCGTCAGTGTTGTCTCTGTATCCTGTCCCATCAATTGTGCACCAACTCGTGTCCTAAAATCCCATCAAGTCGCACTCCAGGATAGATAAGTGATTAGCGCCGCCCACTCTTTTCGATCGTCTTCTCCGCCTTTCCCAGATTATGAACCCAGGATGACCAAAAATACTAGTCATACAATTTCCATATATGGAAAAATGCTAGTCATACACTTTTCATGCAATTCCATACGTACAGAAAATTGCATGAAAGGTCTATGATTAGTATTTTTTTCATATATGGAAATTGTATGACTAGCATTTTTCCATAAACCAAAAATATTGAGTTTTTACATTTTAATTTCTCAAAACTTTGTGGTTGTGTTCGTAATCGAACACAAATTACATAAACCTTGATTACTTAAACGTAGTAACCAACGGTTTGTCCTTCTCGCATTGAAAATGCATTGGATACAGCCTGATATGTGTTACTTCTGTCTGAGACAAACAATATAAGGAAAGTAATGAACTTTTAGATTTTGGCAATAATTTTCAAAGATGATTATTTCTAAAATTTGAATTTTTAAATTACCAAACATTGATCAAGGCATTCAAAAACATGTCATACAAAAGAACGAGGAGTTTTAAGCGTTTTTGAAAAAAGTTATGAAGAGAAAAGGAAAAAAAATCCAATTTTAGTATATCCAGGACTACGTTATGCACACAAAAAATTAAATTTTGCATGCAAAATTTTTTTTCAAAAAATGTTTGTTTGAATACGAAAATCACTTTGCGGTTGAAAAAAAAACATAAAAAAATTTTTGTCGTCGCCATCAAAAAAATGCTAGTCATACAATTTCCATATAT